CGCAGCAGTTTTGTCTTCGCAGAAGTGGAGGAGAGACCCGATTTTTTTTACTTATATTTTGTTAAAAAACGTATTTGTGAAATACGTTTTAGTTTTTTAATTATATTAAACAACGTATTTGTGAAATACGTTTTACATTTTTTATTATATTAAAAAACGTATTTACTCTATACGTTGTAATTTAATTTAATTTGTTAAAAATTAATTAATATTAAAAACCGTATTAATGAAATACGTGTTTTAAAAAAATTATTTATTTATAACAAAAAAATTGATTTAATTAGGCATTAGGGTTTCCAATTTAAATTTGGGGTTTTCTTAAAAACGTATTTCATAAATACGGTTTATAATTTAAAATTTTATATACATTTTTCGGCAATATGTTTTTAAAAAAATTAAACAAATTTAATTTTAGGACGTATTTGCTAAATACGTTTTTCATTAAAAAAAAATTAGAAAAACGTATTTGCTAAATACGGGTGTTCTATTTTGGGCTACCCACTTTTTTTTTTTTCTTTTTTTGTCCACTTATTTTTCGTTTTTTTTTTTTAAATAAATCACCCTACATATATGTCCCCACCATGCTGGAAAAGAGGATTCTTAATTTGTTGCCTCGTCGCTAATCTAAATTACTGCAATATTGCATTTTGAGTAGAATTTTATATTATAATGCAGAATATAAATGCAAACTTTTTTTTATTCAATATAACTATATTTTCCTCTTATTTAATTATGTCAATTTCTCAACGATATATAAACTTTAAATATTTGGAGAGAGACTCATTTCCTCTTTTCATCATTGACCGGAAAAGGTCAGGACGACAACACCTCTTGTATACCAAAGTTGTTAAACATACACCAACATATTCTCAAAGACAAGGGAGTCCGAATTGCTAGAGACAATAAATGTTCAAGTATATCCTGCAGTTGCAAAATTCTCTAAAAGCAAGCAGCCAAACAAAGATGAAACATTTATTTGAGAACATCCCAATACAAAACAACAGAGCACAAACCTATTCAAGCCCATGTATAAAAATCTCTATTTTAGAAGAAATACATAAAAAGAAGCAAAACTACAAAAAGCCCTGGAGATTTGTTTCTCTATAGTGCAATGCTTCCCCATTTGAGGAAAAATACAACACCAAAAATTGAGATCTGCATCTCACCATTAATAATTCATAAACGTTTGGAACTTATAGCAACATCTCAGCTATCTGGACGGCGTTAAGAGCAGCACCTTTACGTATTTGATCGCCACATACAAAAATGTCCAACCTGTTAAAACAAAACGTTCATTAGAATGCAATTTGATTCAAAACTACATAATTAGAAATGAGTCATCGATCTTTTTTACCCATAATTCCCTTCCTGGGATACATCTTGACGTATTCTACCAACTGCCACGTCATCTTTATTTGAAACTTCCAATGGGGTAGGGAAGTAGTTGGCCTCACGATCATCAATAACAACTACTCCAGGGGCATTTCTGAGAATCTCTCTTGCTGTGTCCTATAAATGTCAGAAAAATAGCTCTTGAGACTAAAACTGGATGGGAGAGGTGTTTTTAATAGACTCCAGTTATGTTAGGTAGTATATTAACAAATCACAAGTAAATGTCATTGGTGTTAACCATAAACCACATGTGGAGTTAAGAATTTCATTACCATCACATGCAATTGACTACTAAATATTGAATGAAGCTTCCTGTATACATTAAAGTCTTCTTTCAACCAGATAGTGATGTTAATCAAGTTGTAAACGGTGTATAAAATATTTGACCAAAACAACCAGATATGTATATATGATAATAGATTAACACATGCAGCTTCCAGTTCCTTATCCCAAGTATGCATAAGAGAATAGAACAAAACACATATCCAGGACAGGATCATAATAATTTCAAATTAAAAAATCTACCTCATCTAAAGGTGTCTGGAATTGAAGATTGACACTCTCAGCATGAGCACGCATGACAGGTACTCTTATACAGGTGGCAGTTACCTTGACAGTATCATTATTCTGCAGAGCATAAGTGTATCCATTATAAATATAAATTGGAACCAACGGTAAGACAATCTAGGTGGTGAGTTAACAGAAAATTTCAGAACCACTTCAGGAAAAAGCAAACTAAAATGTACCCATATCTTTCTTGTCTCTTTAACTAATTTCATCTCCTCCTCATTGTATCCGTTTGAAAGGACAGGCGCATTATGTGAGAACAAGTTAAACGCATACTGCATTGTAGAGAGAGATTAGAAACGATATAGTTGAGTTTTTTTTTTTTTCTCAAATCATGAGTGGCAAAATATAGTACATTGCATCAACAAACCTGTTGCTTAAAAATGTTACAAGTAGGCGGTTTTCCTTCCAGCACCTATTGAAAACAAAATATGTCAGTTGCTTAGACCAATAAACGATGGATAAAACCAAAACAATGTAAAGACATGGGAGACCTCACGAGTCTGCAGTTCAAGTTCTTCCATAGCTGCAGCACCAGCACCACTTGCTGCCTGGTACGTACTAACCACCATACGGGATACCTGCATAGTAATTAGCAAGATTAACAAAAGCTGAAATTAAGACCTATATGTTTCATCATATTTGGTCCACAGAATCCAGGAAACTTTCAGCGACCAAAATAACTATCAAAATTAGTATGAACGATAAGGAGGTGAACCGGCAAATACAACTTATTGAGCCTACAGTGGATGAGCAACAAATTTCAAGGCGAGATTTTCACCAACCAAGTTTAAATATGCCAATTTTACGAATCAACTAAAAATGCATAAACATGACACAGATACATAACACAGATGAAATAAACATGACAGAGATTCATAATCATCATTCATGATACAGATGAAAAATTAATCATGAGATACAGTCACTCAAACATATTCTATGCAATAATGAGATTCAATGTTTGGAAATATGCCTAAACTCGAAAGAGTGTTACTCTGAAATCAACCTATAACCCTATATGGACCAGAATCAGAAAGCTATTGACCAACTAATATATATATATATATAAACTTTCTTAGGAAGATTGTAATGATTCTATATGGTGTGACGATGCCCGTAAAGTGCATAACTATTAAGATTTTTATATAAAGCTGTAAGCAATATGGTTGAACATTAGTATCAATTAATTATAGTTTCCAACATACCCTTCTGTTCTGGTAGATGACAAGACATTTTGTACATACTTCTGCTATTATTCACTTTGGCACAACACAGATCGTTGGCTTTGATCATTTAAGATTACACCATTCATTGATTAACTTCATCTTCATTCTCGTTTCATTATTTTGAATTACTACCATTGTCACATTCACATCTTTCTCTCTGTTTCACAATAAATAATGAATCAAGCCCTCATCTTTTCACCAATTGCAGCAAGAAAACTCAACTCTGGGTTTGATGTACAACAAATAGCACCACCACAAAGTTCATACATCCATAACTTACCTTCACATGCTATAAACATGCACGTATTTTTATCAGCTTCATTGAATTTAAACCTGATTCGGTCTCATCAAGTTTGTTCAGAGAATGCAAAAACACACACACAGCATCTTTAGAACACTAACTTGACATTTCACCTTGTCCATATTGCATATCATTCGAATACAAATAAACACAAA